CACGCCGAAACTACTGACGCGCAGCCAGAGGTGTGTGCACCCCTGCAGCCCCCTCCCTGCCCCTCCGGCTGCGCTCGAGGGCTTGTAAATAAACTTCTTTCTCCCTTTATGCTCTTGACCTGAGATTTAATTAGACCCCCGCTTCCTGCCTATATGAAAAATCACTTCCCCGAGCAGGTGGCTCCGATACCGCCGGGGCTGTTGTTGTGGTGGTTTTTTTGGGGAGGGGTTGGGGGGGGAAAGGTGGTAAATGGGGGGAAGAGTTTGTTGTTTATTTTTGTATTTACAAAGCGCAGCTTTTTCCTGGTGCCGGGCATGGGAAGAGGGGGCAGGATGTGACCTTCATCCATCTCCTCCTCGCTCACACAATGCGGACTCGAGCGCCGCGGGCCGCCGCCGGCATTGTCCCCGCAGCGCCGGGCACCTCCCGCCCCGCGCCGCCGGCACCTGGCGCCCGCCGGCACCGCCGCCACCCCCAGCTGGGCCCCGCCATCGCACACATGCACTGAAAAACAGAAAAAAAAAAAAAAAAGAGCAAGGTTGCAGATTTCCTCTCTGCAAAACAACCGGGAGCGCCGAGCGAGGCGGCGGCGTGGGAAGGAGGGAGCAGAGCCCCGGCGGCGCGGCCCCGGTTGTCACCCTCGTGGTGCTGCAGGGAGGATGCTGTGTGGGGCACTGATCTGTCGTGCATCTCGCGGGCTGTCCTCTCCATCCTGTCCTGTCCTGTCCGTTCTGTCTGTCCTGGGAGCCTTCCCCTCCACCAGGACCCTGCAGGATAGGGTCAGAGTGTGCTGCCCCCTCCTGCGCCCTGTGCGTGGGGCGGACGTGCCCTTTTCTCTCGCGCATGGGACAAGTGTAATTATGGCCCATGGAGGCTGCAGCCCTGCACGCACACCCCAGCCCGGCTCCCCAAAAGCCCACCAAATCTTGCTTCTCCACGAGCTGATGGCAAACAGAGGTCCTGGGGGGCACCCAGAGGGCGAGGTGCCACCCAAACCCCAGCGGGGACATCCAAAGAGGACGCGCTGCGCCCCGCACACCGTTCCCAGCACCCGCTGCTCCTCCAACCCTTGGGGCCAGCTCTGCCCTCGGAGCATCCCCGTCCCCGTGGAGCCACCGGCAGGGCCGGGGGGCTATCAGCAGCCAGGCAGAGCAGCTGGTAGCCGGCTCCTGCTACCTCACGGGCTGCACAAGCTGCTCGCCAGAGCGGCTCTGCGGAGCAGCTGGCCTCGGCGCGGGGCTCGCGCTGCCCAGCCTTCCCCCGCGCCAAACGTGGGACGGATTAAGGCGTAATGAAGTGAAATCTGCCTCCTTTTATTATTCTAAATAAACACCACTATATAGACATATGTACTGGTGTTTAATTTGGGGAGAGAACTGCACTGACCCTGCTCGCAGGCTTTTTTTTTTTTGGCGAGTTAGCGTCTGCTTCGCCGGGCTTTGCGGCGACAAAGAAGGGACCTGGAGCAGCAGGAGGCTGATGCCAAGGAGCTCCTGTGCCGTGCCCAGGCCCACAACGAGGGACGAACCCTTGACGTGACCCCCAGAAACACCACCACCTCCCTGCTGCCTGCAGATCACACTCAGACCCCGAATAAATAGGAATTTGCTGCAGGATCTTACAGAGCCAAAGGGTTTTCCACCCAAGGGCAGCTTCCCCAGCCGGTCCCTCCACGCGCAAAGCCCCAACACGACTGAGCCGAGCTCCGGAGCAGCCCCAAATCCTCCTGGCCAACCCTTCCGAGGGCTTTGCAGGGGCTCGAGCAGGGTTAGACGTGGTGGGGGCTGAGCCCCGCAGCGTGCCCCATCCCTGCTGCGGCCGGGCCTCCCCGCGGGGTGGCCGCGCTTGCAGGAGCCCCGTGCGGAGAAGCAGCGCCCACGGAGCGAGCTGGCACGGGGCTCGCATTGCTCAACGCCGAGCTCAAAGCCTCGCCCCAGCGGCGACAAAACGCGGCCACGGCGGCGGTGCCAACGCGGGCACGGCACGGCGCAGGGCAACACGGCCCTGCTGGCCCAGGCTGGCAAAAACGCCCCCCCCCAGCACCTCGGGGGAGAGCCCAGCCTTTAGAAACGAGGTCTTTCACCCCCAAATTCAGCCCTTAATTCGCCAGCATCCCCTTCATCTCGCTGGCACACTGGCGGGGAGCGGAGCAGGTGCAGCCCAGCTGGGCGCAGCGCCCATCGCCCCTCTCTCCGAGCCCCCCCGGCCCCTCGGCTCGGACCCCCCCCCCCCGGGACCCCCAGTTGCCGGCCACGGGCGCCCACCTGGGAGCGGAGTGGAGCGGGGCGGGCGGCGCGCTCGCACACGCGCTGCTCGGCACAGTTGGTTATCGTTACATTTGGCATCAGTCGCTTCCATTCGGCTCAATAGGGGAGGGAGAGAGAAAAAGGAAAACTCAGCTCAAGGCGATTTAATAAGTTCAGCGTTACGAGCTGGGGAAAAGCTGTGGAACACACAAGTGGTAACGCAGGATTAATCTTTCCTTTAGTCTTGGGAATTATGTTTTCATTAATCCTAATTTTTCCAGATGTTTCACTCCTTATACCAGGGTCTTCAAAGCCTCTGTGGCTGCAAATTCTAATGAAGCCATGAGAACATTTTAAAGAGAAAGATTCAAAGCTTAAATTGCTTCCTTTTTTTTTTTTTTTCTCTTCTTTCTCTCTCTCTCTCTTTTTCTTTCTTTTTTTTTTTTTTTTAATTTTTCCCCCCTCGTCGGGCTGTTGGGGAGCGCATGTGTGTGCGGTCCCAGCGCCTCCACATGTTGTGTTACACAATGTGCTAACAAGATGGAGAAGGCCACTCGGGCCGCGTGATGCGGGTGTGACGTCTGTGCCTTTTTGTCCCCGGGCTGAGCCCCCGCTCGCCAGGGGTTCAAGGAAGGGGGAGGATTTTTTTGTTTTTTTTTTGGGGGGGGGGGAACTGGCCACCTGCCCGGCTCTGGCAGCCACACCGCGAGCGCCGGGGCTCCGTGGGTCAGAACCATCCGGGGGCTTTTAACGGCTCGCGGCTGCCGGCGGCATCGCCGGGATGGAATTGAGAAGAGGGGGGGGGAAATATAATAAAAGGGATGGGTTCGAAACCAGGCGGGTGTTTGTGTGCTTGTGGAGGAGCTGCGGGGGCTCGGGGATGGATGGGGAGGGAGTGGGGAGCTGGGTGGCGAAGGTTTTTAGGGAATGGGGCTTTTTGGGGTGCCCATGGGGAGAGGGATGGCAACAATTTGGGAAATAAGGGGGGACCAGCAGCTCTTCCCCTCCGTGCTGGGAATCCTCTGGCAGCCCCATGGAGATGAAGCCGGAGCCCCCTCTCCCTCCTGCCCACACAGAGGGGTCCCCAGCACCCATCCCCGGGCACCGGAGCATCGCCACGGGGCAGGAGGGGACCCGATCCCAACCTCCCCGATACCATCAAGGTTCCCAAGCCCTTGGGGCTCCTCCAGGCAGCTGCAGGATCCGGCTGCCACCGCCCGGCACGGCACGGCACGGCTGGGCTGTGCATCCCCTCCCGGCTGAGCCCCCGCCGGCAGCGCTGGGCTCGGGCGCAAGGACGCGGTGTGACGCAGGAGGGTCAGACAAAACGATCGGAACAATCCTCTCCTGGTCTCCAGCGCCCTGGATTCAGATCCATGTACTTATATGGCCTGCGAAATGCGGTGGGAGTATGACCAACGTCTGGAAATCCAGATATGACTAGATCCCTTCATTAGTAATTTCTTGTACATGACTTTCTAGACCATAGGGATTTGTTAAATTTGCAGGAGTGTTTTCTCACAGTGCCATGGACTGGCTGTTGCCAGCATATATTGGCTCGGATCTGTCAGATCCTGTTGCCTTATATGACCCGCAGTTAATTCAGCTTTTCTTTGTATCCAGCCCTCAGCAGGGAACTCCTCGAGCAGTCTCAGCGTGGATCATGCTAAAATGGTTCCCCAGCCCTCCTGCCATAAAACAACTGCCCACACAGTGAAAGGGGGACGTGGGGGGTGGAATTCAATGGTCCCCTCCCCGCCGCCCCGGCCCTCTCCAGATGCTTCCTCCGTCCCCAGGCCCTGCTCCTTTGGTGCCGAAGAAAAAAAAAAACTCCCCGGTGCCCGCGGAGGGTTCCTGGAGGGACCAACTTTCCCCACCCCATCCCGCAGGCGCACCCAGCTCCCCTGAGTTAATCATTTCCCCCCCTCTTTGCTCCGCGGGGCCGGGGGTGCCGTGGGGCAGGGGGACTTTCGCCTTCCCCGCTGACCTCCTGGAACTTTGACCTTCCTTTATGGGGGCCATAAAGGTTACTCGTTAACCTGCGCCCTGCCGGGGTCCCTCGCTCTCTGCGCTGGGGTCCTTCGCCCTCTTCGCCCTCATCTGCTTTTGGAAGGCTAAAAAGGACATCCCGCCTGCCAACAGAGGTGCTGGGGCACCAAACGGCTCAGCAAAGGAGCTTGTTGGTGGCTGCCCTTGGTTTTTGCCCCTCTGGGAACCCACGTGCACATCCCAAATCCCCAGACGCCGCCGGGGTAAGGTTTCCAGGAGGAAAAGGGCACGCACCCAAGGGCACGCACCCTGACCCCCCGGCCCCAGGGCGGGCACCGGCTCCAGTGCCTGCCAGCTCCACCCCGCTGAGCCTGCAGTTCCCTATCAGCCGCAGATGGAGATAAGGAGCTGTCACCTCCCCAACCAGCTCCGGGCACGTAGCCCGGCAGCCTGACCCCGTGCCGTGTTCCCCAGGTGCACCCACGCGGTGTTTATGGACCCGGCACAGCCGCCCGTGCCAACCCCGCATCTCCAAACCTTGCCACGGGCACTGGCTGGATCCAGAAGGGCTTTTCCTCTTAAATCTCTCCACATCTCCACGCACCGTGGTGCTTCGGCAGCACTAAGATGCTCTGGAGATGTTTTCTTCCTGCAGCACACCCCTCCCAGAAGGCTCTTTGCTGCGATTCCCAAACCTTTACAGCTCTCTCCTTTTTAAATACCCGTTCAAACCCAATTTTCCTTCTGTGCAGCTTTTCCTATCAGCGTTTTATTCAGCCCTGCCCCCAAAAAAAAGACCTGAACCAAGGTGCTTCCACTGGAAACCCCACTCCAAACCCCACGGTTCCTGGTTAGGGGCAGCTGGCAGCAGCGAGCCGAGGCCACCGCACCACCACGGCCAGCAGCTCGAGCCAGGGACCAGGACTTATCTTAAACATGAGGAGCTAACGAGCTTTTCTCTGGGTCGAGCTTTTCTCTGTGTCGAGCCATCCCATTGAAAAATCCCGCTGGAGGGCTGATGTGGCATGCGATGGGTACGGCACACACCCGGGATGTAATGCAATGGGGTCAGCAGTGCTGAAATTGCCTTTCTTTCCCCTTTTTGCATCAGCAGGGGGTGGGGGAGGATGAGGCATCCCCTGTGGACCACCAGCACAGGATGGGGCTGGGGGTGGGAGCTCAGCCCATGTTTGCTGGGGGGGAGGTGGGCGAGAGCATCCCGCTGTGCTCCCCGGCCCCACCGCGTCCCCAACTGGCACTTGGGGACACCAGAGCGAGCCCAACGGGGACCCCAACCCCGTGTGTCCCTGGGGTCCCCGTGGTGGCATTCTCCTGCTCTGCCCACATGGCAGGGACAAGCACGGAGGCCTCTGCTTGATGAAGCATCCCCAGGTCCCACCCCAAAAAAAAAAAAACCCTTTGGGATTTTTCTTTGCCCCTCTTTATGGAGAGAGGCGGCTCGGCACGATGCAACCCCATCGCAAGGCCCGGCGGCGCTTCCTTCAAAGCACCTCCTCCTCCTATACGTTGCCCTGATTTCCAGCATCTTGCTGTTGAAAAATGGCAGGGGAGGGTTTGGCAAAGGAGCTCTCGCGCAGATTATTCAACAATTGTTTCCCATTTTGCGCCCTCGCCTGCCTCATCCTCCAGTAACAATGACGAAGAGCGGCGTGGAGCCAGCGCCCGCGGCAGGGGTGTTGAGATCAGGGACAGCACAAAAATATCTTCTCTCTGGAACAAATATTTACCAACCCTTCTGCCTTTTGTTCTTGTGGTTCTCATATTTTTTTTCCAGACATTCACTGGCAAAATGTCACATTAAACAGCAACCCAGAAACTTCGGGGTAGCTGCTTGGCTGCTCTGGGCTTTGTTTTTCTCGCGCGCTAATTGTTAATGAATTTCCAGCCATTCAAGCCAACACAAACCTGTGAGAAAATGATCTTTTCGGCCTGATTTCGGAGCTTTATGGGGCTTTGCGGAGGCCGGGCAGTTGCCGAGCAGAGCGCACATCATCCCCAAGCCACGCATGGCGCTGCTTTGGGTTGCGATGGGCCGGGAGCCGTCCCCGGCCGGCCGGAGGCAGCGCGGGAGCCTTGGCAGAGCTCAGCCGCCTCCTGCAGAGCGCCCGCGTGGGCCCCCACCCCTCCTGTGGCACCGAGCACCCGTGGGACCCTCCCCAGCCCCGGCCCCGGGGGCTCTGCACAGCTCCGAGCCACGGCTTTGGGGTTTGGAGAGGTCCCGTTGTGGGCACAGGGGCTGGAGAGGGGGGGAAGCGGGCGCACACCACGGTGCACCCCTCATTTCCAGCACTGCTGTCGGCCCCGCGGGCTCCTCCGCCACCCCCCAGCAGATTTTTCCTCTTTTCCTCTCTCTTTTCAAAATCCTAAAAGCCTCGCGCCCGCTTTTTATGGTGGCCAAGCAAGAGCGCACGGGCGATGTCTGAGCATTGCTTTGAAGGAGGAGAGAAGGGGGGGGAATAAAAGTCACTTCTTGCGGCACAGCAGCCCCCATCCTCGGTTAAAAATTAACCGTGGCCATAAAATCCCTGAGATAGCAGCAGAGCACGGCTCACCCCGTGAGCTCTCCCGGCGCGGCCGGGCTGCCATCCCCTGCCCCGTGGTCACCGTCCCCTCCTGTGCCACCCCCTGCACCGCGGCACCGCGGTCACCGTCCCCTCCTGCCACATCCGAGGATGGCCACGCCGCCCCCCGCCAGCGCCCGCCGCCTCCTGCCCCTCTCCCTGGGGCTCTTCCAGGGCGCCCTGCTGCTCTTCTTCGCCCTCTTCGCCACCTACGACGAGCCCTCGGCCGCGGCCACGCAGGATGAGGATGGCACCCGGGCTGTTGAGCAGCTCCCCAACCTCTTCCCCCTCTTCCAGGACATCCAGGTGATGCTGGCGGTGGGGCTGGGGCTCCTGCTGGCCTTCCTGCCCCGCTACGGGCTCAGCGCCCTCGCCCACAATTTCCTCCTGCTCAACGTCTCCACGCAGTGGGCGCTGCTGCTGCAGGGCGTGCGCCACGGCCGGCTCCGCCTGGGCCTCCACAACGTCCTCGCCGCCGAATTCGCCGCCGTCACCGTCCTCATCTCGGTCGGGGCCGTCCTGGGCAGGACGAGCCCCTGCCAGCTCCTCGCCGTGGCTTTCTGCGAGGTCCCCGTCTACCTCGCGAGCGAGTGGCTCGTCGTCACCCAGCTGGGCGTCCGCGACGTGGGGGGCACCATCACCATCCACGTCTTCGCCTGCTATTTCGGCCTCGGCGTCTCCAAGGCTCTGTTTGGGACGGAGAGGCGGCCGGCGCATCCCAAGGAGACCCCAACGCCCCGATCCGACCTCCTGGCCTTGGTGGGGACGCTCATCCTCTGGGTTTTCTGGCCCAGCTTCGTGGCTGCGCCGTGCCAACCGGGCGATGCCCAGCACCGGGCCATCCTGAACACTTTCCTAGCCCTCAGCGCCGGCGCTGTCACCACCGTGGTGGCCTCCAGCCTGCTGGAGAGCGGCGGCAAGCTCAGCCTGGGCCACCTGCAGAACGGCAGCCTGGCCGGAGGGGTGGCCATCGGTGCTCTGGCCGATGTGCCCATCACACCGGCGGCCTCCCTGGCCCTGGGCAGCCTCTCCTCACTCGTCTGCCTGCTCGGTTTCCGATTTCTCACCCCATTCCTGGCGAGGAGGCTGGCGCTGCATGACCAGTGCGGCATCCACAACCTCCACGGTTTGCCGGGCATCCTCGGCGCGGTGGCGAGCGCCGTGGCTGTCCTGGTGGCCTCCAAGGACACCAAGAGGTGCCAGCTGTCCCACGCCGATGGCAGCGGGGTGGCGGGGGATCTGTGGGGTTGTGGTGGTGGCAGGCAGGCGCTGTGGCAAGTGGCAGGGCTGGCTGTGGCCCTTGGAGGCTCGCTGCTCAGCGGGATGCTCACCGGTGCCGTGCTGCGCCTGCCCTGCCTGGCCCCGCCGCCCGAGCCGCTGTGCTTCGAGGATTCACTGAATTTCAGGATCCAGGAGCAGGCTGAGAGCCCAGGGATGGGGGACACAGCCGAGGAGGTGGCCCTGAAGGAGCAGGTTTAGGCACCCGGAGCCCTCTCGTGCCAAACACTCAGTGCCAAGGCAGTGCTGCAGCGTGCGCCCCTTCAACATCCTCCCACCCCGAGGCTGCAGCTCCCTTCCTCTGCGCCTGGAAACCCCAGGAGCTGACCATCCGTCTCCACAGCCATGGAAAAAACATTCTCAGGGTTTATCTCCCCGGATGGCTCACCCCTGGGTGCTGGCCTGGGATGGCAAACATCCCCCTGCTGCCTCGGGCTCCTCCACCGCCTCGCTCCTGGCTGGGAACAGCAACGGGGTGGAGAGGAAATGACCACAAGCAAGGGATTTTGTAAGAGATTTTATCACCTGTGCTGCACTGGACAATCTAACCTCTGCCAGGACTACGTGGCAAATTGCTGCAGAAACCTCCCTTTTTCACCACAATGAGGCCTGAGCATGGAGAGGGGCTCAGAGAGCCAGGACGCACGGAGCACCCGCACCCCACAGCACCTTTCCCTGCCCCAAAACCAGGACTGGGAGAGCAGGAAGGCAGCGAGGGGGCCAGAGGAGCTTGGGGACCCCGAGGAAAAGCAGCAGCCCCATCCCACGTGGCAGGGAACGAGCTGCTGCCACCCCACTGAGGACAAAACCAGAGGCTCACAGGCACCAAGCCGCGAGCGCGGGGCCACATCCTGCCCGGAGAGCGCCGTGATTCAGAGCCCCCCGGCTCCGTGAGTCACCGCGCCCCTGCTCCGCTGCCACAAAGACAACGCCGGAGATGCTCAGGGGCTCCGGAGAGGGCTGAGGGGGCCAAAAATCCCCCCGCCACCCGCTGCAGGGATGGGGGCTGTGGGCACGGTGGCCCTGCGCACGGAGCCGGGCTCGGCGGGGCTGGATCCCCTCTGCCTGGCGCGGCCCCAGGCAGAGCCGACACCAAGAGCGAGGCTGGGGAATTCGTCCTCCAATAATCACAAACAGGCTCGGGAGCCCGGGCGTGTTTGGTTAATTGTTAGAATAAAATATTGTTCAGCTCTGACAAAGGAATCCTGCCCCGCAGCCCGGCGCGGCAGAACAATGGGCCCCGGCGGAGGGTGCCGCGGGCCGAGCAGCGGGGCCGGGGGGCAGCGGGAGGCAGCGAGGCCCCGAGCCCAACCACGGCATCCCACCGGCATCCCACCGGCATCGCCGGCCCCGTGGAGGTGTCCGTGGCGAGGGCACGGAGAGGAGCAGGGGGCAGCCGGGCCCCTCGCCCCCCATCCAGCTCCCGCTGGGCGTCGAGAGCCGCCGGAGCCAGCGCCGTCCCGCGGAGCCGCGGTGCCACGGGGGCCCAGGGTGGGCTGCTGCTTGTTTTGGGGTGAGACAGGGCTCCCGCTGAGCCCGGCATGCTGGTGCTGCTCTCTTCCCCTCGTGCTGGGGCCTGCTGGCTGCACCGCGTGGCTCCGGCTCCATCAGGGCAGGGAGGAGGGTGCAGGCACCCTCGGGGAGCTGCCACGGGGAGGAATCGTGCCGGCACACGGAGCTGTGCGCACGCACACCCGGCCCCGAGGCTGCAGACCCCTCTCCCATGCGTGCACGGTGGTGCAGAGCCCCCCTTCTCCTCTCCATACTCAGGGTTTCGCGTGCTTTGGGCCACCCAGGCCCCTCGCCAAGGCTCCCCCCAGGATGCCCCCAGCCCTGAGCCACTTCCCAGCGTCACCCAACCCTTCCCTGCGAGGATTCAGCCTCCTGCAGAGCCACCCAGCACCGCGGGCGCTGCTCCACCAGCACGGCCCCGGCACCCATGGGGCTGTAGCAGCGTGCCGGGGAGCTGGCAGTGGGGCCACGGGCTGGGGGGCACGGGGAGGGGAGCATCCGGAGCTGGGCCCGGGCACACCCCGCTGCTTGGTGGCACGTCCTCGCACGGGCACGCAGTGGCACAATCTGGTCGGCAGATGCCTCCGAAACCAGCAAGAGGCTGGGAAGCTGGGCTTTGGAGGGGGGGGGGAGCTGCCCTTCCCCGCTGTGGGACCCCGGTGATATTTGTCAGTGTTTCCAGCACGCTGCTCCCTCGAGGGCTCGCCGGGCTCTGCTTGTCACAGCACCGCACATCCCGCACCTCCAGCCCGCAGCCTCCGTGCAGGACCTGGGTTCAGGATCCTGGCACCTCATGGCCGGGGGAGCCAGGACCCACCTGGGCCATGGCACGGCTCCGTGCGGCCCCATTCCCAACTGTCCCCTGTCCCCCGGGACCGGCTGTCCTCCAGCTGGAGCCGGGCAGAGATGCCGCTGGGTGTGCCGCCTCGAGCCCAGCTCTCCCTGCTCCTCCAAAACAGCCGCTCTCCAAAGGATGGAGCAGTAAAATATTAACCAGAGCCCCTAGCGTTTATCACACCGTAAATCTGGGCTTTCAACAGCTTTACGATGCTGCAGGGAGATGGGAGAGAACAAAACGCTCTTCTTCTCACTCAGACACAGCCTGCGTGTGCCAGTGCCCCCAGCGCTCGCTCTGTGCCCGCGCTCGGGGGCTGCGAGGGGCCGGCACCCCCCAGCCTCGACCCCCCCCAAGCCCCAGATTGGGTCATAATGCAGACGAGGACCGAAGCAGGGCGCGGGTTTCCCGATCGCCAACGAGGTGGCTGCTGGTGCTAGGACGAGGAGAGCTCTGCTCCATCCCAGGGCCAGCCGCGTTTCGGTGGGACGTGGCACTGCGAAGGGGCAGGGGCGAAAAGCGCCCCCCTCATCAGCTCCACAGGAGCACAACAGCCACCGTCCTGGGTGATGCTGGTTTGTTTTTTCCCCTTGTCCTGGGTGATGCTGTTTTTTGTGTGTTTTTTTCTGTTTTTTTTTTTTATTTTATTTTTATTTTTTTCCCCTCTCCCAGCTCAGCCCACGGCCAGCTCCGTGCTGCAGCGCGCTGCGCTCCGGGCTCGAGGAGCACCCCGTCCCCACGCCCTGACCCCGATCCCCGGGCTCTGATTGCAAAACAAGAGGCGAGGGGAGGAAGCCGTGGCCGCGCTGTTTGTGGGGCTGTCGGACGCATCTGGCAAGGCGATCAGAGCCGGCAGCCCCCGGGCACGCACACACCTGCGGCACGGCGGGCGGGAGCGTGGCACGCGCGTGCGAGGACGCAGCAAAACGCGCACGGCACGAGGCGCAGCCCCCCAAAAGTGGGGTGCAGCCCCCTATTCTTGCATCCCAAATCTCGGGGAGGGGGCCGTGGGGATGTGCTCCGGGCTCCTCGCCGTGCGCCCGCCTGCCCGGAGCGAGGCGGGAGCTGGAGAGGTGCCCACGGGATGCCCAACGCCTGGCACCGCGCGGGGCGGCCGCGGAGGCCGGAGGGAAAGAGGGAAGGAGGGAGGGAAGGAGGAAAGGAGGGAGGCAGCTCGGTGGCGGCTGCTGGAGCCACATCAGAGCAGCCCCCCCGGAGCAGCCGGGAGCGTGTGGCGCTGCCCTCGAAGGAAATGCGCTCACTCCCATGTGCTGCACACTTGGGTTTGCCTCGCTGCTATTTTTATTTGACTTTTCAGGCCCGTTTCCTTTTTCCGGCTGTTTTGCTGTGATTCCACCGAAGCTTCGACCTCGCTTTTCCCCTCCCTCCCTTTAGCCTCTTCCTTCACTCTTTTCCTTCCTTTCCATGCACTCATTCCTGCCGCCTGCACCGGGCTCCCCCCCCCCCCAGCCACCGGAGAGCGCGGCAAGCTCACAAACACCCCAAACACCCCCTGCGTGTGCTGCCACGGCCAGAGGCACCACCGCTCACCTCCTGCCACCACCCAAAACCAGGAAAACGCTGCAAAACCACCAGCACCGGGCACAAATCCCTTTTCCCAGCCTGCAGAAGCAGCCGGAGCAGCTGCACCCATCCCCTGCAGCAGGGTTTGGGTACCCCCAGGGGTGATTTCCAGCTCCTCGCTGCTAGGAAAGGGGCTGGTTACGGCTCTGTTTTATCTGGGAATGTGCTGAGAGCTCAGGGGGGGTCCCTTTGCTCCAGCCTTGATGCAAAAATGGCAGTGAATCACCCAAGACGTGGTCCTGTTTGCACAGCACAGGCCAGGGTGGCAGCAACGCCCCCAGCGGGACCCCCAACCCCATCCTTGGGGAGAAAAAAAAAGTGGTCCCAGCCCCGGCTGCAACCCATCATCCAAAAAAAAAAAAAAAAAAAGGAAGAAAAAAACAGGAAAATTGCTCGTTCGGGGGGTCTGTGTCATGCTGGTGGGCACCCATGCGGAGCAGGGGGCGCAGGGTTATTTTGGGAGGTTTGGCAGGGGTGTCGTTACGCGTGGGGGCGGTTGGGTTGTGTTGTTTTTTTTATTTATTTTTAATTATTATCGTTATTTATTCTCTTTCCTCTCTTCAACCTGATTAAAACCACTGTCCGCATTTGATCTTTTGTTTAGGAAAACAAGGAAGGGGGGGGAATAAGAGGGGAAAAAAAATAAAATAAAAAAAAAAAAGAAAATCCCAGCGCAAAGCCGCCCAGGGAGGCAGCAAAAAGGGCACGAGCAAAACAAGGCAGGGCCTGGGCGCAGCGAGCTGGGGGGCTCTGCGGGAGTCCCATCCCCGAGCCCCCCCTGGGACCACCCGAGGAGGAGGAGGAGGATGGGGCTGGGAGGAAGGGGCCCAGGCCAGCAGCGGGCTGGGGAGGAGCGTGGCACCGGGGGACAAGCAGGGCTTGGCGTCCCCCTTGTCTCCTGCCAGGCTGGGACAGCATCTCCCAGGGCCGGATCCTGCTCCCCACCCAGCTGCCACCCCCCCCCCCCAAAAAGCAAGGCCCAATTTGTGCCCCCAAAGCAAAAATCCTGCTCCCTTCCCATTAAACCATGGGCCAGCAGCATGCCCAGGGACCCCTCTCCCACCCCCCAGCCACGCAGCCCCCCGGCTCCAGCTCCAACCCCAGAGGCAGGGTGGGGGGGCACAGCCCCCAAATCCCCTTTTCTCTCCCCAATTTTCCTCCCCCCGCGGCACAGAACCGCCCGCAGCCCCCGCGAAGCCCCCAGCAAAGCGCCCCCAGGCCCCTGCCGTGCGCACGGAGGGGACCCCCCCCGGCCGGGCCACCCGCAGCCCCGGTGGGGGGGGGACACAAAGGGGGGGGGGACCCAAAGTGTTTTGGGGCCGGGGAATGTTTTTGGGGCCGGGAAATGTTTTTTAGGGCCGCGACCCGCAGCCCGCTGCTGCCACCTCGTGTCCGCGCCGCAGCCGGGAGCGGGATGGGGAAACTGAGGCAGGGCGCACAGCACCGATCCCGATGCACCCCCACCGAGAAAAGGGGGGGGGGGGCAGGATGGGACCCCAAAAGGTCCCCAGGAGCACTGTGAGCCCCCCACACACAAGGCAAGGCAGCAGAGAAAGCAGCCAAGGAGGCTGCGAGGGAAGGAGGGGATTTATTTTTGGCTCCCCCCCCCCCAGCTCCGAGCAGCCAGAGCTGCAGCGAGGCTCTGAGCAGTCCTGGGGGGGGGGTTTCAGTGTTTTCGGGGCAGGGGCTCACCCCGGCACCCTACAGGCACCCTACGGGCACCGATGGGTGCGTAAAAGTCCAGTGCCAGCAGAAACCTCAGCCCCATGGCCCAGTTTGTCCTTTTTCGGTCCCAAAAAACCAGCCATTGTCCCCCCCCCTAAAAAAAAGCAGCTGGTGATGCAGGGGCAGGAGCATCACAGAAATCAGGGTCTCTCTCTTCTCTTTTTTTTCTGGGCTTCCCCTTCTTCTTCCCCCAGCTCGGGGCTGTCCAGCTCGGGGCTGCAGCCCCCCTCCGGCACCCACCCCGTGCACCGGGGCCAGTCCCGGGGGTCCCACTCGAAACAAGAGGATGAATTAAATCCGGGCACCCCCTGGTACCTCTTTGGCTGACTTCGGGGTTGAATTTCCCCCAGGTCCCAAAAACCAGGCGGCGTCAGGCACGAAAGCAGAGCGGGGAGGAGGTGAGGGGACCCCTAGGAGCCCCGGGGGGGGCCGTGCAGGGCGTAGAGCTTCTCCCAGCACGTCGCCAGCCGCTGCGCCCTCCTGGAGATCTCCTTCAGCTGCTTCCTCCTCCCAGCGGGGCTGCACCGGGGCGCGGGGTGGGCTCTGCTGTCGGGGTGCCAAAGGGGTGAGAAATATCCCCAGCAGGCAGCCACCCCCCCAAAACCCCAAAAATGCTGAGCCCCAGGGGAGGGCGCAGACCCCGTGCGCATCGGGGACCCCAAACCACCCACAGCAAGGAGGTGCCCCACGGACAGGTGGGGTCCCCGGGGCTGCAGGAGATTTGGGGACCCCCCCCCAGCCTGCAGCACCCACCCCGGACACCCCATGGCACATCCACGTGTGGGGCAGAAGTGGTTTTCCAGCCCCCCCAGCCCGCAGCCAGGAAGGGTTAACCCCAGGTGGTTTCCCCACCATGGCAAGGAGATGCCCCCAGTCGCACCGTGCCACCCCAGGGGCTTCCCCGCTGCTTAATTAGTTAATGAGTTGCCCGGTTAATGAGTTGGCTGGGCAGGAGAGCCTCCAGGCTGGGGTTTCCCCAGCAATTCCCCAGTCCTGGGGACACCCAGACTGGTGCCGTGGGGATAAATCCCAGTTCTGGCCCAGGAGCAACTGGGCAAGGTGAGCAGAACGGCTCCTGCCACAACTCCCAGCGCACAGCCAGGAAACTGGGAGCTACTGGGATAGACTGGGAAGGGGCAGGGCTCCCACCTTGCCGATTCTCCTGCAGTTCTCCCTCAGCACGAACTCGGTGTTCCTGGCCACCTTCCACACCGCCACCTCCTCGGGGCCACGCAGGGTGCCGCCCGCCACGTCCCGCAGGGACATGCTGATGTTGTAGATGGCCAGCAGGATCTTCTGGTCCTTCGGGGGGGGAAAAAAAGAGAAAGAGGAGAGCAGCCCCGAGCGGGGAAAGGGCTCGAAAGCTCCTTGGGGGGGCTCAGGTTGCGCAAAATCCCCAGCCCCGGGTGCTCACCTTGTCCGAGCGGCAAGCCAGCCCTGCCCGGCTGCTCCTCTCCGCCGAGCCACTCAGGTTTTTCTGCAGAAATAAAATAAAATAACGAGGGAAAGAAAGCAAGGAGAGCGTGGGGCAGCCTAAAGCAGCCCGCCAGCACCCTTCTTGCTCACCAGGTTCTGGATCTCGTGGAAGATGACGGCGCGGTACTGCCGCAGGATCCTGGCGATGCTGCACCTCTTGCCCCGGCCCAGCACGGCGAGGAGCAGGAGCAGCAGCACAGCGCAGGAAAGGGCCCTGGGGAGAATCTGTGCAGGGAAAGGGCTCAGCGTCAGCCGGGGATGGGACACAAAGGGGGATGCAGGGAGGGTCAGGGATCTGCTTTCAGCTCCTCGCCACTGGGCATCAGGCAGAGCTGCCCCTGGGGACGCAGCAGGAGGGGGAGCAGCTGGGTCCTGGGGTGGGCACCCCCTCAGTGGGGACCCCGGGGGCTCTCCCCAGCTCCCCAAATCCGGGCTGTTGAGCACTGAAGATCAAAGGGAGCTGCCCGAGACCCGCTCTGCCCTTTGGAGAGGGGCAGGGGGCACGCAGCCTCCCGCTTCCCCAACCTTCTCCAAGCTTCAGGTCCCCTTTGGGAAGGTGCCCCCTGCAATTCCACAAACCCCAAGGCAAGGACGCGGCCCCGGGACAGCCACTCAGCTTTTCTCCAAGCCCCCACACGGCCCCGCAGCCTCCCAACCACAAAGCTTCCCGGCAGCCCCGATGGAGCAGGGAAAACCCCAAAGCTGACATCTGAGCTTGGCAGCACTGGGCGGGGGTGCCCGGACCCTCTCCGAGGGCTGAGTTCAGGCACTTTGGAGAGGAGCCAGAGCAGCCTCAGGTGACCGGGACCGGGGATATTTGAGCACCCAGCAGCGGGGTGAGGATGGGAAGAGGATGGGAAGCCCCACGCACGCTGCAGCTGCCGGGAAAGAAGCCCAGCAGCTCTCCTCCCCGGCGCACCGCTGGGAGATGGCACGGTGCTGGGCTCCAGGCTGGCACCGGGCGTTTCTATCAGCTCCTGTTGGCTGTGGAAGTCCAATTCCCTCCACCTTTTCCCCCCTGCAACTCCAAGCATCAGGTCTGGGCAGGCAGACAGCAGCTCAGCACCCTCCAAAAGCAGCTGCTGTGCGCAACCGGAGTGCGCACGGGAAGGAAAAAGCTGGTGGCAAGGGCTGGTGGCTGCTGATTTCACAGCTTCCACGGGAGGGATTTCATCTCTGGGTTAGGGTTTTGCTCCCCCTTCTCCTTTCTGGATCTCTGAGCTCCCTGCCCCAAAGCACAGCTCACACCTGGGTGGGTTTGTTGCCTATCCCCAAATATCTGGCTCTCAGCCTTGTCTTTTGGCTCAGGAGCACCGGATGGTCCCCAAGGCCAGGCAGATGCCCCCCGTCCTGCCCCGTGGTGGGAGCCTGGGGGTTTGTTTGCAAAACCTGCGTCTGCTCCCTGCTCAATTAAAGGCTGGTCCTGGCTCCAAAGGGCGAGGAAACCTCTCCCCACCCTCCTGCTCCTGAGGCTCAGCAGGACGAGGAGCTCACCGCCCTGCAGCAAACCCAGCACCATGCCAGGCTGCGAACCTGGGGGCATCACCCTGGAGCAGGCACAGGCACAGGGATGCAACCAAATCCCCGTGCAAGTAGGTGCAAATCCCACTGGGAGCCCAAACCCGTGCCCACCTCGCAGGATTCTGGCACTGGGCTCCATCCCCTGGGCTAGGAAGGGCAGGGGAAGAGCAAAAGCAAAGCTGGCCGAGAGGGTGATTCAGCACAGAACTCCTCGGGGACACGAAGGAGAAGGGGACACCCCGTCCAAAGTCTAAGGGTTGCTCTCGGGAAGCCCGTGGCCGCGCAGCTTTGCCCGGAGCACCGAGCCAGGGAAGCCGAGTTCCCCGCAGCGCTTTGTTGAACAACTGGGAGCGAATTCCAGGAGCAAGCACACCCTCTGCAGCATTTCCAGGCAGCTGATGGCACCGGGATCTCAGCCCCCAGCACGGGAGGAAGCTCAGCGAGCAGCTGAAAAGCTCGGGGAGGCACCGGGGCAGGAGGCAGGAGGGTGCCCGTGGGCGCTTCCACCGCCCCCATAAAGAGCAGGGGGAGCGGAGATAAAGGGGAGATAAAGCCCAGGAACCCAAATCCTGTGCTCTGCTCCCCTCCTGCAGGATGGGGGAAGGTCCCAGGATGGGGGAAAATGAGGTGTGCTGCTGATTTGGGGTCACCCCAAATCCCCTCTCCCCCGTGCCCGCAGCAGGAGGGCCGGGTTGGGCACGGCGCTGGCTGCACTGGGGTTGGGATCGGGCTCATCCCCTGGGGCTGGCAGGGGAAAAAGGAGCTGGGGAGCACGGCCACGGGGCTGCAGCCACCTGGCAAGGAAAGCTAATCCCTTCCCCGGCTCTAATCCTCCTGCAAACACCGGCAGATAAGGGAAATCACCTCCAGTGATAGAGCAGCTCCCGGTGGCACCGCGCGAGGCTCGGCCACCCCCGTTCCAAGGCGCTGGGGTCCCCAGGTCCTCCTGGCCAGGCTGTCCCCATCCCTGTCCCCTAAAACCTTCCTCTCCAAAGGGGTCCTGCCACCACCCCATGCCTGCAGAGCAGCCACCCTGAGCCTCGGGACCGGTGACACTTTTGGGACCAGCCACGCGTCCGTCCCCACGTCCAAGCCCCCGCCCAGCCCTCCCGAGCACTTCCACGCCCTCCCGGCCAGACCAGCCCCTTCCCCACCAGCTCTGACCTCCATCCCCACCAGCTCCAGCTCCTACCCTGACCCTACTCCCATCCTGACCCTCTCTGAGCCCCTTTAGGGCCAGACCAGCCCCATCCTAATCCCTAACCCCACTGCTCCGAGCCCCGTTCTGGACAGACCAACACCAAATGCGTCCCGACAGCTCCCAAACCCCATCCCAACCCAAGACCCAAACCTACCCCAATCCCCACAGCTCCCCCCCAACCCCAATCCCAATCCTTCAAGGGGGCTCAGGACCATCTCCCCCCAGCCCCAGCCCACTCACCATGGAGCCCCGCAGGCACCGGGGGGCCCCCACAGCCTGGCCCCCCTCCGCGTCCCGCTCCGCCGCCGCCGCGCTGGGGCTCGCGGTTTGAACTTGGCTCCACGCGCGGGGCCGTGGTGGGAGGGGACGGGCCCGGCCCCATACAGCGGGGGGGGGCACCTCTGGGCCCAGCCCCGGCTGTATCCCTGCAGGATGAAGCCCCCAGCCCCGCAGGATGGAGCCCCCCGACAGCCCCAGGACGAGCAGGAGGCGCTGGGCGAGCGGAGAAGCCGGGGAAAGGAAAGGAGCGAGGAGCTGAGGGCTCGGGGAGGAGGTGGAGGAGGCAAACCCAGCGTCCTGCTCGTGCCGAGGAGCCGTGCCTGGAGGGTCAGGGTACAGGAGGCTCCCTTCTTCCTTGAAGGGCCCTAATAGGGCTCGCAGAGAAAGCGCTGCGTGGGATCTGGCTGCGTGGGCTCAGTCCCACGGAGGTCAGGAGGGAGGCACTGCCCTGCTCCTGCACAGGGCCGTGCTGTAGGAATACACCGAAATACACCCCCAGGGCACCGTGAGCATGATTAGCATTTCCTTAATTCATTATTAGCATGCCCTAAATCATCATCCTAAATCCACTGGCTGCTGCTGATGCCCCTGGGTCGCATCGTGGCCGCGCACCACAGGTTGGAGAAGCGGCTGTGGCTGGAGAAGGCGAGGGGACGCTGCTCAAACACCCGCACGCGGCCAAAATAAATCCTCCTGCTCCCAAACTCTGAGTTTTAGGGGCATATCGCCCTTTAGCTCGCAAGCCCAGGCAGGGAAAGCAAAGCCCTGACTCGCCGGGGCAGCCGCTTTCACGCAGGATGCGTTCAGAGCCAGCCTCACACGCGAGGCTCCGCTGGCGTGAGGTGAAATAAAGCTGAAGGATCCGAGGATCCGACTCCTCGCAGCTTGGCAAGTGTGAGCAGGAGGCGTCCGAGCAGGCGAGTGGGAAGCTCAGCGTACACAAGAGCATACCGCTGAGACAGGGCCCATATAACTTCTTTACGGAGCTCTATATCTCGTTAAACGGTGGAGGTGCCATCAGCCGTTTGGAAACACAAAGCCAGCTCCCAGCACTAACAGGCTGTGAGATGGATGACGCCTTTTTTCTGAAAAGGAAAACAATCTGAAAACCCCGGGACAGGGAAGGCTGAAGATGCAAGGAGCAGGTGGTAAAAGGAGTTGGGTGCAGGTCCCCTGGCCCAGGGCTCTCAGCCCATCCCAGGAAAATCAGCTCTCCTCTCACCTGCCACAAGAATCTCCCCTGCAAGTCCCTCCCTTGCCTTTTCTCAGTTCTTGGGCATTGCCCCAAAAATCTTTAGATACGATGCTGCCACCTGAAAGGGGCAGGGAACATGCGCTCCCCAGCCTTGTCCCATTTCACCTTCGCATCAGACCCCCTTCAGGGCAGATGCCAACGATGGCACAGATCCCTGAGCAAATCTCACTCACCTTTGGGAAACTACAAGCCCACAGGACATCCACGATTTACACCCTTCTTATTGAAAATGCAGCTTCACACATGTCCATCAGCTACTCAAGGGGAAGAACAAGAGTTCACAAGTTTTCTCTTACAAATCCAAAGGATAGAAATGTTTGGCCTTGAAGGAAAAGCCTGTTTCAGTGTTAAAACACTTTTCATGTGCGCTGTTGCTTTTGGCAGAAGGATGCGGCACGACTTGGTGCAACCACCCCTGGCAGAAATGTTCCCAGAGTGGTGAGAGCCTGGCAAGTTCAAAGGTTTCTGCTATCAGAGCCACTCTTCCCAGTCAGAGTACAAAGGCGAGACCACATTCAAAGAGGACTTAAGGAAACAAAACACAAGCCATGTTTTATACATATTTTCCAGACAAATAAAGGGTTTTTTTTCCTCTAGCTAAATACATTACATAATGCACATACACAGACCTGAAGACTTCTAAATCCTACTAAGATATTACACCTTTTAGTTCAGTGAATGATCACGAATCAGTAAGGGTCGTTAGGTCAAAATAATACAGGTTGTGAGCATAGAAAATTGAAGACAACTTTCAAAGGGTCCCAGACACAAAGATCTCGCTCTAATTAATCTGCTCTTTGCCATCTGCACTTGAAGATGGCCATCCCAAACACCCACACTGAAAAAGCAGTCGCCACTAAGTGCACAGTCTCTCGATGGCTCTAACAAAAGGTGATTCCTTTAAAAGGGCCTTCAGGGATTGCTGCCTTCTCCCTTATTACTTTAAAATACCACCGTGCTTAACACAATTGGGCACCTAGAAGAATAAGGTGACACTATGTACATTTAAAAAATTAAGGAAAAGTCTCTAAAAATATGCTCTGGGATTTCACAAAATGCTCCATCTGCTCAGGTTTGAGGAGGACTCGAGTTGTGTTGCAGCTTGCCTGCAGAGGAGATGAAGTTAGACCAGACCTTTGGTCAAAAAAAAAAAAAAAAGGAATATTTTTTAAAAAAGGCTCACCCCAGCCATTCCTCTCAGCTGTCCAGCTCCTCCCCCCAGCAGAGTCCTACCCCATCTCCTCCGAGGATATTCAAAAACAGCAAGAAAACAGGTGCTGGCAAAGAAATTGCATCAGGTGGGCCAAACACTAAAGAAACTGCACAAAGGAGGACAAGGACAGGACGGGCACTTCATGCTGCAGAGGAATCCAGAGCAACTGCTAACATCAGAAACCATACAAGCGCTGATTAAGGCTTGTATTTCCAGAGGGGATTCAGGCATCAAAATGAAAATGCCAACACAGCCTCACAAAACTCCCCTACAATTACACCAGCAGCGACATTCAGAGGGGAATTAGATGCACTTGTGCTGCAGAAGCTGATTACTGCATTGTGAGAGCCAAGAGCACTATCACCAGGAAAAGGAGGAGGACCCAGCTTTGCTTTTTGGAAGGAAGATCTGTCGCATTGCCACCCATCTCCTGTCCTCTGGAATCTGCCACTCTGCAGGCAAACGAACTGAAAGCAGGCAGGTCCTACAGAAATGGCTGATCCAGCTGAAGGCAGCGGACTCTAGAAGGTGTTTTTAAGCTTGGCTGCCACAAGCACGAGAATCTCTCCGATTTTCTTCTGCCAGTTTGCTATGTCCTTGGAGACATCACACCAGAGCTCTCCAGTGGCGGGGTTCAGCGTTCTCACAGCGCTTCCTTACCTCTTCTTGTTGCTCCTGTGAGGAAGAGAAAACAGTTTGCAGGTCTCTTAATGCTCTGGTTTGTTCCAGCAGAGAGATGAAAAATTAAAGTCCCCTCCCTAATTCAAACACTCATCCAAAGCTTTCCCCCCACCTCCCTTAAAGGCAGTTTGGAAGCCTGGGTTAAAATTCTCCTGCCTCACTCAACAAAGTGGCCTAATAACAGCCGAGCAAGTTTTGGAAACACCAAAGAAACTGCAGCAGAAACTTCCTTTGTGTTGCCACCTGCATGAGACAGGTCAAGCGAGAGGTCTCTCTGAAGTCAGAAGATAAACACTCCCATCACTTCAGTAATATCAGGCAGTAAAAACCACCGTAAGAGATTAGAACAGATTGTTCCTACAGCTGTGTCCACGTGCAACCTGCACTTGACACTTGTGCAGATGTGGGGGCGAGCTGCACACATCCAGCACTGCAGTTACAGGAAAGTCTCCTCTGAGGAAGTTTGCATTTTACAGAAGCAAGATTGATTTCAGAGCTTTTTTGCACGAACCAGCACAACTGTGGATGGCAAAGCAGCCTGAAAGACAGCTCTGCTAATGACAGTGTCTTTTAAAAAGCACCACACATGCCTGTTCTTGCTCGCTCAAGACCAGGCGTGACAGCTTTAGCCTCCTCATCTGGGAGCCAGACAGGGAGCAGCAGCAGTGTGCATGTCCTGGTGCTGCAGCAGTTCCCCGGACAGAGAAACCAGCAAGGGATTCCTGCTGCCTTCCCTGCTCCCCGTGCCCAGCTGCACGCTCACCTCTGTGCCATGCTGAAGCTCAAATTTGTAAAAGAAAGCCCAGGCGTCCCCCAGGTCAGAATCAATCTTCACTGTTCGGTGGAACCACTCTCGGGCCTTGGTTATTTTACGCTCGCTCCAGAATAACCTGGTGAGAAAAGCAGAAGGGAAGAGAGAACCTCTTCAGAGGAACACAGCAGTCTGCAGGCACTCCAACTTCAAGGCACTACAGATATTTCATTTCTTTGTTCTCCCAAGAAGGAAACACCAGATTTTGCAGTTATCTGCAAACTGCACTTGCCCCGGGAGTGGAAGAGACAGGAGAGGAGTAGAAAGAACATCCACTGCTTCCTCCTTACTCCCCACACACTGTAACAGGTAAAGGCAGTCCCAATTAAAGGAAGAGACAGGCTCTTGGAGAGGGGAAGGATTACTCTGAGGTCTATCTTTGATAACTCATGTGCTTAATTTTGCTGTTCCAGACGTAGCATAGAAAAGGACAGGATCACCTACCTCCATCTATTTTCCCTCCCTCAATTTTTTAAGATTTCAAGTTCATTTTATCATCTAGCAATTAACATCTAAGCAGTTGCAAATTATAAGCACTGGAGCCATTACCGCATGTGGTCACAGGCTCAGGTACACTAACCTTGCTCCTTCCACCTCCACTTTACGAGGAAAGGCAAGCACGCAACGTCCCACACTCAAATCGCACCCTGGCACTCAGCCTGACTGCTGCCATTTCAAAAAAGGTGCTTGTGAATTCTTAAATTTCTCCCCGGTAATTAACCAGCTGAATCAATAGTCTATTGGTTTCATTCCTTTGCATTAAAGAGTTCATTTGAGCTAGTAAGGTCCTTATCAAATCAAACAGCCATCCCTCATAAAGAGCTTAGCCAGCCATAAAATTATACAGCTTATGTGATTGTTTTTAAGCCCTATAATACCCTTGATTGTTCCGTGTTAAATAAACTGCGATTTAAAAGAGCACGAACAACGATGGCAGAGGCGAAACACCTGCAGGTAGTGGCCTTTTTCAGCAAGATTGAAAGTTTTCCACAAACGTGTGACAGGCCGTGGTATTACCATACCTACATGCAAGTCGTGATGGGAGGTGGAAGCTGTTTGTGTTGGGATTAGCTGCGAAAACTGCCTGAGGTTGTACCAGAAGGGGCCTGGAAGCAGCTTCAATAAAGCAAAAAGTTAACGTTTTTCCTCACTTGCTGCTACAGCAGAACAAGGCAGCTGTTATCTGGCAGAAGCCAGCGTTGCAGTCACTGGAGTGTATCCTACAGTTTTCTTTGGCCTATAAAAAAGGGTTGTGAAAGAATTGGGCAACTGTCTGGGCAACGTGCTTCCTGCATTAACCTCTTCTGGTCTTCACAAAGGAAGAGAAGAAAGTTTGCTCCAATCGCTACTGCTGAAGAGCCATCTACGCATCAGATCAGAAGGGATATGGTGAGTCAAAACTAATCGTAGTTTTCCATCCCTGGAAGCCTCACAACTTGATTTAGAAAAGAAGACAATTCCTAGTGGATTATCTTCCTGTTCCAGAGAAGCAAACTACAGGGTGACTTGTAGTCTGCATTCCAGGAAGGGCCACAACTGAAAGAAAAACTGACAGAGCAGAAATTCAAGGAAGGGAGAAGACTAAAACAGCACAGTCTAAGATCAAGATTAAAAAATCCAACACAATCTAGGATAGAGAGAAAACATGAAGAACACAGAAAGTCAGCCACATAAAAAGTGAACAGCCACCAGCAAAAATTGTCCGTATTTTTAAAAATAGGGAGAACAC